ATTGCACTTATTCAACCACATTGTACCCAGCTCTTTTCTGGTATGTCCAATATCCTGGAGGAGGTCCAGAGCTGCTTTTGAAAGTCACAACAGCTAACAACAAGGGAAGCAGCAGAGGTTTTGAAGCTACATATGATCAAGGATCCACTTCCTTCCACTTGCAGAAAGCCTCTGTCCAAGAGTCAGACTCGGCTGTGTACTACTGTGCTCTGGGTGACACAGTGGCACAATCTGCAGGGGGAGCTGAGCACAAACTCTGAGAAGCCAAAGAAAGTCTGAATTCTGATCATCTGTCTTTCAGATGACTCTGTTTTCCACACAGTCTGTGCTGTGTGTCCCAGTAATTCTCTGGATGGTGAAAATCATAAAAATAGCCAGAGCAGCACAAGAAGTAGGTGTTACCACAGCTGGATTTCACAGGGGAAACTGCAACTCTAGGAATCTGTGGTTCCTTATGGAGGGTCACACTGATTTCACAGAATAGCCGTGGAAACAATGAAGTAGTCAGTTGTCTTGATCAGCATATACACATCACTGTATTCATATTGTTGCATGCCACCTGTAGCCCAAGTTATTCAAAGAGAGGTAAATGCACCAGAAAAGGTGGCATATAGATTGTCTACCGAATAATATGGAAGGAGAAATTATTAGAGTGTTAAATACAAAAAAGACATTAACACAAGACATCCAGGAAATCTGGGACACCATGAAAGGACCAAACGTAAGAATAATAGGGATAGAAGAAGGAGAATTCCAGCTCAAAGGCACAGAAAATATATTCAACAAAATCATAGAAGAAAACTTTCCCAACCTAAAGAAGGAAATGCCTATGAAGATACAAGAGGTTTACAGAACACCAAATAGACTGGAACCCTGTCCCCCAAGAAAAAGATCAAGTAACTATAAAGGCAGATCCATCAGAATAACACCCGACTTTTCAATGGAGACTCTAAGCCAGAGAAGGTCCTAAACAGACATTATGCAGACTCTAAGAGACGATGGATGCCACCCAGACTACTATACCCAGCAAAACTTTCAGTCACCATAGATGAGAAATCAATATATTCCATAACAAAACTAGATTTAAATAGTATCTATCTACAAATCTAGCCCTGTGTATGATAGTTGGGGTATTCACCAATCTGGTTACAGGGGTAGGCCAGTTCAGGCATCCTCTTCACTATTGTTAGGAGTCTTAGCTGGGGTCCCCCTTGTAGATTCTTGGGAGTTACCCTAGCACCAGGTTTCTCCTCAAGCTCATAGTGGCTCTCTCTATTAAGATACCTTTTTCATTGCTCTAGGTTTTTCAAATTTTATGATTATTATTATTATTATTATTATTTTATTTGCATTTTAGCTGTATGTGTGTCTGTATATCATATATGTGTCTGGCATCAGAGTAGGCCCGAAGGGGATTCAGTTATGGAGTCATAACTGGTTGTGAATCACCATGTGGGTGCTTATAATTGAACCCAGATCCTCTAGAAGAGCAGTTGGTACTCTTAAGCCATTAAGCCATCTCTGAAGCTTCAAGATGTGGCGTTTCTATGGTGTTCTACTGTCCTTGCATGTTCGTTTCTTGTGTTTGGAAAATGTTTTTCATATTCTTTGCTTTATCTTTGAGCACTGCTTTAATTGGTCCTTTCTACTTGTAAGACTACCCCTCTGAGTTTTCTTGTTTGCTTATTAAGCTTTGTAATTCCATATTCATTTCAGCTTGAGTTCTCTTCTGTATTTCTACATCTCTATTGCATTCAGTTTTAAAATCCTGAATTGTCCTCATCATTTCATTCAGGCTTTGCTTTCTTGGACATTACTCAGGCATTTATTTCATTTAAGAATTTAACTTAAGCTCATGGAACTGTTTGTTTTTATCATCTTTATACCACTTGAATTTTTAGGTAAAATTTATTATTGTTCTTTTAAGTTATATGTTCTGAGGTTCATCTGTATAAATCTGGATTTGGGGCATGGGGAACATACTGCCTTGACCTTTCATCTTGTTTGTTTTTGTGGTTAGACTTGGTCATTTAGATTTCTTTGATTGGTTGTGTGTCCTATGATGATATAGTAGGTTGAATTGCTACACAGGATTTGTCACCTGGATGAAACTCAGTGGGACTCAGCAGTCTCAACTAGGCCCCTGGTTGTGGATATGCTGTAGCTCTGGGGATTAGGGAAGGTTCAGGAAGGGTCAGACATACTTGGCAGGTTGTGCTGGTCTATAAGGACTGGTCTGGGCCTTGAGGTTGGTTATAAATAGTAAAACCTTCTTAAAGAATTGTAGGGAGACACTGTAGCCCCACCTCCTAGTAGCCTGGACAGGTGTGCCGGGACACGCCCGTGAGGGCATGGTGAGGGGAGGTCTAAAGGTGACTCGGGGAGGATTCTTAAGGGATGTTGGCGGACACGTGGAGAGTCTCTTTGCTCTTCTCCCTTCTCTCTGGCCTGGCTGCCTTGCTGCCCCTGGCCTGCTTTGGCTTTTGCTTGGCTGGTGTTTATCTGAATAAAGAAACCTTAGCCTTATGGACTGTGGATTGATCTCTTCAAAGAATCCTTACTATGGCCCCAGTGAACAAGCTCATAAGTGGAGAGGCCCCATTCTCCAGTTTCTGCTTTCAGTAAGAATCACAGATATCTCTTTTTAAGTTACATCTTTGGAGAGTGTCAGATTGTAATCTGTGGATCTCATTGAGACTTTTGTTTAAAGCCCCAACAAGGGGAAACCCCCCTGCCCTATTGTGTCATCAGCAGCCAATGTTAGGATCCTTAGTTTCTTTTAGAAGTTGAAAGGTTAGTGATTTGGATTTCATCTGGCTCTGTTGTGTACTTTGGGACTCCCACACTTCTGCATGTTGTTCCCATCACCTATCTCAATCAGTCATCCTCCTGCTCTGTCATGAGAACTATTAATCCAGCTTATACATTTTATTGGAAGTCTCTTACAGGAGGTGTGTATCTTACTAAACTGTGCTTCAAGTTTAATTTCATGTTTCTTTTTGGGCAATTCCCAAGGCCACTGTGCTTGTTGTCTTCATTCTTCTCTCTCTTCCTTTAGATTTTTTTGAGACAAGATCTCTCTATATGTCTCAAATAGGCCTTAAACTCACATTCCCTTGTTTCATCTCCCAGAAACTTTAATCCCTTCTGGGACTATAAGCATGTCCTCAAATGATTACCTCCTTTGTATAGTTTCATATTTACTGAGAAATGAGTATTTTTATTATTGTCACGGACAATGTACTATTACAGAAAACAGTTTGAGTCTGAGCATCTTTCCTTCAATCTATTCCCTTTGTACTTGTTTATGGTAAAAAAAAGGGGGGCATGATCAAGGCATGTTTTGTGGGTGCTGACTCATGGCTCTTGAATAAGAAAAGGTCTTCAGTCACCAGCTTCTACAAAGTCTCAAAGCCCAATATGGGACAGTGTAGAAGGCACAGAGGTCTTTGTATTCACAGATATCACTAGGGGAATCTGAAATGTGAAACAGGCAGGGTTGTTCCTTCAAAGGAAGGAATGCATAACCTGTTATCTGCCCAGAAGGCTGGGAGCAGAAGTGGTGTATTCACCACTTCTGGTGGCCTTTGTTCCATCTGTGTGGCTACAGACCACAGCAATCCTCCCCTCCCCCACACCCTTTTTATATGCTTGTTTTTCTCAGTTAATGTATAGAACTCATCTTTATGGAAGGCTGACAAAGAGTTTCAATATTGCCATGTCCAATCTTTATTTAGCTTACTTTCTTTATCAAGGAGATTTATGTATGCTTTATTGAGCACACACGGTTAAGTTAATTACCATCAGAAATGTGTTCACCAAATTGTGCTGTATTTGAATATGCTTAAAATAAATTATTTGGGGTCAGACTCCCAAAGTGTGAATCAACATCTGCTACTTTGTGTTGAAGCAAAAGCCTTCTTGCTTATCACAGGTCATTTCTTTGCTTGGCCATGGAGGTCTCAGAGTCCTGAAGGATGGTGGTTTCCTGTCTTGTTTCTATGTGGACCCAGTTCAGCTCTGGCATAGGTATTCCTCCAGTACACACGGCTTGATGACTGTGTTAGAAATGGAGAGGGAGAAAGTGAACGTGTTAGGGAAGAAGAGAGTAGCAAGGAAGAGGAAGACGGAGAGCAGAGGTAGCTTCAGTAAGAGGGAAGGTAGGAGAAACCAGATCTAGAGCTTTCTCAGATCAATCCCTGCACAACAGGACTTCACTCAAGAAAAGAAAAGAAAAAAAAATCAGAAAATTGAGCACGTTTTCTAGGTTTTATTTAGAGTTTAGGTGCTGAACACAGCTCCATCTCTCCTGGTCCAATGCATGTAAAGTTCTGTTTAGACACAAGTATGTTCCTGGCACAAAATGGAATGAAGACTTTCAGGTGTTACTAGGCTCTGGCCTCAATAAATAATCAGTTGAGGCCATCTGTAAAACTTGAAGATGGATTTGTATGAGAGTGTCTGGAGTAACAATGGTTAGAGAGTCTAACTCTGTATGGAAGAAGCTCACTCAGATTTCCTTGCAGACATTTCCTAGGTGATTTTTCAGTGCAGGTGACTGCCTGCGTGTGAATCCTATTGCAGAAGACAACGTGTGCTGAGTGTGCACACACATACTCACCTCACCACCTACCACCCCTCAACCCCGACCTGGAGAACATGTCTCTTAAAAACACCTAATGAAACTGTCAAGTGTTTTACCTTTTAATAGAAGAGTTTGCAGTTTTGAGTATTTCTTTGTTCACTATCATGAGCCCACAAGGTGGCAGTGTTTTCTTAGGATCCTGTGGAGAGAAGGGGGAGGGCAAGAAGAGGAGGAGGGGTAGAGAAAGGGTTGGAGGGCAGGCTTGGTACTGCTGAGGTGGTGAAAGAGTCACTCTTCTGATTGTTAGCCAAGCTGCTTTTCATGTTTCCTTAAGCAGAAGATGTGGAAACTTTGAATGTGACTCTGTGAGTTTAGAGTTGAGAATCTGAATCCTCAGTGAAGAGGGAGGAAGAGAATGAAATCCTTGAGTGTTTCCCTCGTGGTCCTGGGGGTCCAGTTAAACTGTAAGTTTGGGAATTTCTGTGGGATACAGGTGTGATATGTAAAGTTTTTGCTCCCTCAGGGTAATGGTAGAAACACAGATGTTTTTAATCTCTACTTAGGGAATGACAGGCCTGTGGGAAACTCATTCTGGGGTGTCTGGATCCATATGCATCCAGTCCTGTTTGTCTGACCTTTGTCTTTCTGCACAGGGGTGAGCAGCCAGCAGAAGGTGCAGCAGACCCCGGAATCCCTCAGTGTCTCAGAGGGAGCCATGGCTTCTCTCAACTGCACTTCCAGCGATCAAAATTTTCAGTACTTCTGGTGGTACAGACAGTATCCTGGGAAAGGCCCCAAGGCTCTGGTGTCCATCTTCTCTGATGGTAAAAAGGAAGAAGGCAAATTCACAGTTCACCTCAATAAAGCCAGCCTGCATGTTTCCCTGCACATCAGAGACTCCCAGCCCAGTGACTCAGCTGTCTACCTGTGTGCAGTGAGCACACAGTGCTCCCCAGGCACCTGCAGCCTGCACCCAAACCCACTGGGCTCTGTCAAGGTGACTGTAGCCTTGTGGAAGGAGTTTGGAAATGTTCCTTCTGTTTCTCTTTTGTGGAACAATTTGAGGAGTATTGGTATTAGTTCTTCTTTGAAATTCTAGACAAATTTTGTGCTGAAGCCATCTGGTCCTGGGCCTTTTTTGGTTGGGAGACTTTTAATGACTGCTTCTATTTCTGGTATATTTAAATTGTTTATATGATATTTATTTAATTTTGTTATGTGGTACCTATCCAGAAAACTTTCAGTTCTTTTAAATTTTCCAATTTTTTGAAGTACCGGTTTTTGAAATATGACCTGATGATTCTTTGGATTTCCTCAGTGTCTATTGTTATGATCCCCTTTCATTTCTGTTTTTCTAAAATATTTTACATTTTAAATTGGATGTAAATGTTTCATGCAAGAGGCATGAAATCATGTCCAAGAACAATCCAGTGAACAAAATGCACCTGAGGTAAAAGGCCCTCTGCCTTTTCTCTTGGAGCTTCTCTTACAGTTCTTGAAGGCACTGTTTACCATGTGTCATATTATTTTAACATATATATATATATGTATATATATACATATATATACATATATATATATTTGTGTGTGTATATGTGTGTGTGTTTGTGTGTGTGTA